TTGAAATAAAAGCCTCCCTTGATTTATTGGATAGCTTTTAAAAAGTTATAAAGTCTTGTCATGGATACAATGTTTAAAATACCCGGAAAAACAAGCTTCTTACAATGCAGTTAATGACAGTATAACAAAATACATTAAAGCTTAACAAAACATCAAAAATAAAAACTAATCAGAAATATTTAAAGATGTTTTCTATAAAAAATATAGTTTCTTTAGTTTTGCTTTTAAATACAGGTATTTGGTCTAAATGTCAAACTAGGTTAAAACTATTTTATTTCAAAAAAGGTCAACCATCGGACAAACAAAAACCATCGTTTTTAGTTCGGCAAATAGAAGCATTATAATTGCAAATGTGATAAAAACATCCTTTTTCAAATTTCTTATATGATGCTTGTAAAAAATCACCAGCAATAACAACTATGTCAAAATTTTTTGGCATGCTTACTTAAAAATTAAGAACAAATTAGTGAACTGGCGATATCTTAGCTAATTCCACCATCCAATTGTTGCAATCATAATACTGTCAATATCAAAAATAAGTTTTTATACCACAACCAGCAATATCCAACATGTCAAAGCAGCATTTGTGGCCTTGCAGCAAAAAACTGATTTTGAAAAAACTTAGTAGGCACAAGTTAATTATTTCTGAAAGCACTATTAAAGCACAGAAGTATCATTTTTGGTATTTGCATATGTATGTTTATATGTACATGTGTACGTACATATGAAGCAGTTTCTCATGCTATATTCATTTACGTCTTTAGAACCTGAGTCCTAGTGCTTATCTGAGAACCTTCTAGCATCAAAGTCTATTGATAAAATGGCTCTTCCATATGATTATTCCACATAATTTTCTGGCTAAAAACTCAAGTTCCTGGATGAAATCTTTTCCACAACAGAATTCAGAAGTTTGGTAACTATTAATTCGTGGTGCTTTTACAGCATTATAAAGATGGACACGAATTTTCTTTACGACAACGTTAAAAACTGCCCAGATCACATGGTTTCTGTCAAAAAGAATAAACATATTTTTGGTTAATATTTTCAATGATGCAATCATTACTGCGGAGAATTATCAGAACATGTAACAAGTTTCATATCCGCACAATCCCAAGATTAAACAAATTGTACAAAATAATTATTAATCTTTAGGCTAATCAATCCTAAGCTAATCAAGTTATCTAATCTGCGCTTTGTGTAATAATAATGCTGTTGTAAGTTCTATCAAACTGTATTTTACAGCGTTAGTAGTAATTCAATAAACAAAAAATAATTAGTAAACGTTTTTAAAATGATTTAGTTATAAATATAAAATAAAATAAAAAAAGTTGAAATATTTAACAAAATCCAAAATAAAATCAAGAATTTCAAGTGTTGAAATATGTACTAAGACTAGCAGCCGTGAGGTGACGTGCTAAAAAATGCGCTAAGACTAACAGCCGTGGCGCAGTAGTAGCGCATTTACCTCATAAATTAAGGGTCCGTGGTTCAAATCCCACCTCTGGGCAAGTTTTGCGATATCGGTTAGGAAGTGATAAGACCGTAAGGACATCTTGGGGCACCTAAAAAAAATTTAAAAAAAAGATAAGTTAGACGTAGAAGATCAAACGAATTCTAAAGCAGAGCTGCTATTAAAGAAAAAAAACTGTTTTTAATGAGTATATTTTATGAAAGAGTGTTATGATGATTTTTATTATCACTACAGACGTAAACACTGGACGAGTAAATTTGATTGTCATTAAGTTACAACGTTATGATGTTTGTTTTAAAAAAAAACAAGAAAAAACTAGAAAAACCACAACTCATTAATTCAGCATCATAATCTGGACGATTTGCATAGAAGTAGTTATAAGATTTGGAAACCACAAAAAAATGCCCACATTTGAACATCCCTTATTTTTGATTTCCTGAAATTCGTTTTTTGAAAAAACTGATTTTGGTCCTTTTCTGATTTATTGACCAAATGTATGACGCTGATAATTATGAGAACCTATGCAGATTCTTGCAGGTTCACGCAAAAGCATTAATTTATGTGAAAAAGTTTTAAACTTCAGTAGCAATCTAATATGTTCAGAAGAAACTGCTGTAGAATAATAAATTAATTGCTTTTATGGAATATGTAATAAAATCAGAGTTGTTAACAAGGCCAATTGTAGCAAGGCAAAGGCTAAGGCCATACGTTACAAGGCTAAGACTAAGACCAAGACCAAGGCCAAGGCTAAGGCCAAGATTAAGGCCAAGACCAATGCCAAGGCCAAGGCCAGACGTTACTAGGCCAAGGACAAGGCCAAGGCCAATAATTTTAAGGTCAATGCCAAGATTAAGAGTTTCAAGGCCAAGATTTACGCGAATATTTTCAAGACCAAATACTTCAATTTTTGCCTTTCATTAAGGACAATTATTAACAAAATTGTAAGTAGCAAGTGCTGTGACAATAAAACCACATTTTGTAAAAATATACCAAGGTTATGAACAAAGTTTAACAAATCAATAAAAAAATGTATATTTATTTTTAAAGCCAAGGCCAAAACAATCATGGCCAACGCCAAAATTTTCAAGGCCAAGACCAAGGCCAAGGACTAACAACACTTAATGAAAGAAGAAATGTAGTAGCAATCTGCTTAACAAGGCATAAGACTTTTGTATATATATAAAAAAGGTAATGTATATATATATATATATATATATATATATATATATATATATATATATATATATATATATATATATATATATATATATATATATATATATATAAATTAGGGCGGCCCTTAAAAATAAAAACTTCGAAATCATCTTCTGGCATGAAATTTAGGATAACCCTAAAGTCTTGAAGTTTCTACCTGTATTAGAACTTTTTGTCCTGCGGGTAAAAAAAAATCAGTTTTGTTTTCCCTTTTTTTTCAGATTTCGACGACATAACGACGGTTCAACTTTTTTTCAAAAAAAAAAAAAAAATTTAAATAATACAAATAACTTGTCATAATATAAAATTTAAATTTAAATTCAAGTTCTAAACTTTAAACCTTCATAGTCCAAAACATTGATATAATTGTTTCAGAGTGAGATTTTACTTAATACTGTTTGTTACAAGATTTCTTTTAGTGCAATCTGGAATTTGTCTGCGATGTCCACTGACAATTTGAATAAAAAACTGAAATTGATCCTTGTCTTTGTTTATTTTTTATTAAAACACTGGATGAGGGCTAGGGCAAAAAATTTTAAATTAAAAAAAATAATTTTTTTTTTTTTTTTTTTTTTGAGTAAAAATGAACATGAAAATTGTGATATTTAAATAAATAACATGAACAACTTGCTCAAGACCTTTGACGACTTGCTCAAGATCTTTGTATTGAGTTCCAAATAATGCTCAACGTGTTCAAATTGCTGCGTAAATGAGACTTTAGTTCTACCTTATGCACATGTAATTCTGGGAGACATTATGTTGATTCTAGCTCTTCTAAACGTTATCAATTTGCCACCTATTGTTTTATTGTCTAATTTCTTTTTTGTTGTTTTTTTTTTCTGATGCATTGAATGAAGTTGATGAATCAGATTATAGAACAATCTTGTTTGAAAATGCTTCTAGTTTTTCTTGTTTATTTTATGACACTACAATTCCTTCTCCTTCCTTCCCTAAGCAGGTTTTCTTCTGTGTCTTTCTACTTTATCAGAGGCACCAATTTAATCTTGTTGCCTTTTACGTCTTTGAGAGAAGGGGACTGCTCTATGATCAGTAATTGAAATTATAGTGAGTGCATCTGAATGTGCGCACACCTTCTATAACCTTTCGACTAGAGTTATGAATAGTTAGTATTTACAATTTGTGGAGATGCATAAAGTGGCCAAAGGCTTAGCAATTTAATGCAACTTTTCTCCGATTCATATAAGCCAATCAGATACACATTTTGTTTACCCGTCAGTTTATATTATACATTCTAAAAAAAAAGTGCTTACTTGCTTAGTGCTTACAATTACAGATTCAAAATATTAGTACATATTACATATTATTATAATATAGAGCTAATAAATTCATTGAATAGAAAAATAGTATAATCATTTAACATATAATAATAGTTTTACAAAATATACTTATACTTTTTGAATTTTTTTTTTGTCAACAATTAAGATAGATACCAGTCACATATTCAAAAAACTGGAATTAGGAGCCTCAGAAATACTATAAAACTTTAAAAAATTGAACTGGTATAATAAATCTTAAACATAAACAGACCGATGTCGCACTTTGACAAGTTGGACTACATCACCGAAATTTCAAGCTTCAAGAGCCACCCCTAAAAATTGTTCAATTGCAATAATTTTCGCATAAATTTATTTTCTTTATAATTAGCACAGTCTGGAAAAGTGCATAGAAGATGATTTCAAAATTTATATATATAAGTATATATATATATATATATATATATATATATATATATATATATATATATATATATATATATATATATATATATATATATATATATATATATATATATATATATATATATATATATATATATATATATATATATATATATATATATAAGTATATATATATATATATATATATATATATATATATATATATATATATATATATATATATATATATATATATATATATATATATATATATATATATATAATATATATATACTAAAATATTTAACCGAAAAGAAAATATAATGTGCACCATATGTAATAGACACATTTGACTTATGGGTTAGCAAAGACGTGGTTTATAGATGATTTAGCTTTGGTGTAGTATAGCTTTGTTATTTATAATACTTAAGTGATATAAGTATTATTACTGGAAAAAATTAAATAGGCACACAAGACCTACATTTTAGTTATTTGATAAATTGAGTGTGGTTCTTATTTAAGATACATGTTGCCCAAATCAAATTTTCTTTTCGGGTACAAAATTACGCATAATGCACAATGATATTTTTTAACATTATCAGATAATATTTATTATTTATTGCAATATTTTTTACTTCAAGTGCATACGACTGATTGTTAAAATAATGTTCTGATCCATGTTGATCATTTTCGCCCCAATGAAAATGCAATTCATGATAGTAGTATTGTTTTCCTAAAAATGTTACATAAAAGTTTGAATTAATAACGCAGTGCACTATATTTATGGCACACAAAAATTATATTGTGCAATACTTATAAAATAAAATGTTATTTAAATAAACAACATAAACTTAAAATAGTTAGAAAAACTAATTTTAACATTTTTAAAAGATGTTTTCATTAAACTAATTAATTTTTAATCAATTTTGCAATCAATCTTGTGATAAGTTTTAAAGGTAAACAATAGGTATAGTTTTTCTACTGCTTACTAAAAAAAATATTAAAATAAGGAATAAGTATAGAGATGGTTGGTATAGAATAGACTTACCAAGACTCTGGTAAACAATAACCTTGAATAGTTTTTTTTTCATAAACTCTCTTACAAACATTTATAAATATTAGCTGTACTTACTCGTAAAATACGGCTCTTGGTAAGTCTATTATATACCAACCATTTCTATACTTGTTCCTTATTTCAACATTTTTTAGTATGCAGTAGAAAAACTATACATGTTGTATATGTATATATAATGCATACCTTTCCATATAAGACCAATTGGTACCCTGGTACCCATTTCTATTCCTAGGTTGACTGTGTGACCATTATTAGCTAAATAATATTTTGCATCATTGAAGACTGTTGAATAGTTTAGGGGAACTAATGGAGTAAGTGTTTCATTATATATTGTCTCTTTCATAATAATGTTTATCGGAGATTGTCTTGTTCCATTACATAGCGGGTGAGCATATGCCCAAAACTGCGGACCTTCTAAATCAAATTTTAAAAACAATATTCAAATTTTTTTACTTGAAATATAAAAATTTAATATATAAGCTTTTAAGAATTTTTTTAATTTGTGTAACATCTTTTTGTGTTTTTAAATCCTTAAATTCCTATACAAAAAATGGTGTTGAATTTAAATAATTTAATTTGCATTGTTTTTAAAATGTTGTTTTAAGGTTAAAAAACGAGGTTGTTTTCAAAACCTTCATCCAAATTTTAAAATAAGATAATTTGATGTTTATAATTAAAATCATTGGAATATTTTTATGCTTCTTTAAATTCTTTTGACAAAATATTTTATACTAAATAGTTTTAAATCAAAATTTTAAGATTCTTTTTTTCCTCAAGAAAAATAGTTTTATGCTCAAACGTTAAAGAACTCCAAAGACCACTAAATTTGAAGTACAATCACAACCAGAAATCGTGAATCAACCTGTTAAGCTTTATTATGCTGTTATAAATCCTGTAATATAGAATAAGATTACGTTGGCGACGTCAGCTTGTGTGCTATCTTTCATGATTTGAAGTGATGGGTTTTTAGCTTGTTTCTGAACAGCTTTAAGAGTATTTCCATTTTTAAAATTAATTGAAATTCTCATTCCAATTAAAGATTTTATGTTACGGAGCAATACCTCAACTGAAGTCCCACAAAAGAGTAGTTAAACAATCAAAACGTTGTTCTAAAACGCGAATTTAACTAATGTTTAAATGTGGGTTTTAGAATATTGAAAAAATTATACTAGCTTGAAATAACTTTTGCTACTCATTCATTCTACAAAATACAATTGTTAACAGTAACACAAAGGTCATTCTCAGAGTTGGTATCTTTAAGAATATGAGTAAAGCCTGTTTTGTAGATCATGTCCGACAAGAAAAGGTGTATATATCCCACATCTGGCTGTCGTATATAAAAGTGAGAAAAAAGAGTAAAACTATGAATAGACTGATGGTTGATATAAATATAAACTTACAATGGAATACACATGTGGATAGTTATGTGGACCACTTAATTATGCCACTTTATCTGATAAAACCTTAACGAAAAGAAAGACTTATTTGCTTCATATAAGGCTATAGTTTTTATTAGTGGAACAAAGGTATAAAATTCTAATCTTGTTTATGATTGATATATAATATGATGATCAGTTTCCACTGACTTGCGGAACTAATTATTCGGTTTCTATAATTATACTGCTTAATGTGATTAATATTTAAATAAGCAAATATACTATACATATAAAACGCATGGTTTTGCTGGATTTTTAATTTTAACTTTTTTTTAAATTAAAAAAATAGAAAATTGCAGTTCCTTCGCAAGAATATTAAATAACATCATGGGTTATACAACTTTTATAGCCTTAAATAACTTTTGTAAACCTGTTTTACAAAAGTTATTTTAAATCACACTCAAAACAAACGATTGCCATGTTTTACGCGCGTTAAGTGTTGGAAGAACATATATCGGCAACTTTTTTATATATTTTTATTACAAGTAATAATATTTTTCAACTACGTATAAGAGCTCTTATGCGAATTTGAATAAAATTTCCAACTTTTTTATTGGGATAATTTTCTATAAATAACTTTAAGAGTAATTCAACATAAATTTTGGCTAAAATTTGTAATGACAATTTAAATGAATGGCAATTTAATGAAGGAAATCTTAAATTCAAAAATAATTTGAATATTTATATTTTTAAAAACAAAATGATGAACTTAACCAAATACAATTTGTTAAATACTTAAAAATTTGTTAAAACAATCCAATTTTGTTGAGTTTTAGGATAAAATTAGGCATTATTTCTAAAATAAAAAACTATCAACTGGTTGTAACTTATAAGTTTTTTAATGAACATTCTTATATTTCAAAATCTATAAAGTTTTTTTAAACATTTACAACACCTTAATGCTAAACTTAAAATTAAGTTCATATTAAATTAATATTGCAGTATTGTTTAAAATTTTAAATTTTTTTCAGTTTTAAATTTATTTAAAAATGAATTTAAATTTAGTTTATTTAAAAATGTAATATAGTAATATAGTTAATAATTAATAAGTATAGTAATATAATAATAATAATATAATAATAATAGCATTTCAATGATGAAACAGAGATAATGCATCCTTGCAGAACCTATGACTAGGTTATTGCAGCCGTTGCTATAAATATAACCATACAACCAAAGCCATTGCTTGAGGAGAACAACCACAAAATACTTAGCAAGGCTTTAATTGTGAACTTTGCTGGCAACAACAATACTGTGAATGATAATGCATTAGTGTTTTCAGTTTTTAATATAATCTACAATTTCGCAGCTGTGTTTATAAAAAATTGAAATCTTGCTTGACATGTTCTTTTTATCAGAACAAATATGGTATTTGCTATATGACATGCGTTTAATACTTGCGTGTATCTTATTGTGATTCCTAAATCTCTTTCTTCATTCGATTATTCTAAGACTAGCAGTGCGCCATCTACTTTATATAATCTATAATTGTACTTTAAATTCTTTTTACTGATGTGCATAACTTTGCATTTGTGACATTTAAGTTGATAAACTAGTCTTTACACCACTTTAAAATATTATTAATATCGTCTTGTTTTGATCATTGTATCAAATTATTTACTTCAGCTATTGTCTTTAAATCTTCAGCATAAATTTTTTTAACAATTTGAGATAATCTCATTCAAATTGTTATCGAAAATGATAAATAAAATTAACCGGAAAACGGAACCTTGTCAAACACTACTTAAGACCATCACCCAAATTGATATAAAATCACCCACAAGAACTCGTTGTTTACGTGAATATAAAAAATCTGCAATCTATTTTAATAAATTGTTTTTCATACTATAAGCTGATATTTTTAACAATAATCTCTGATGTGGTACTAAATCAAAGTCTTTAGTAAAATCTAAAAAATGAATATCTACGGTCGAATTTTGGAATAAATAATATGTGGTCAAGTCCATAGAGTTTTTTTTGAGGGGAAAACCCATACTCAGTCGCTATTGGTTGCAACATAAAGTTCAAGTCGAGCTTGACTCAAGTTCGCTTCTTGCATTTCACTCTAGAGGTTAAAGATAAGGGTTTATAATACATTTGAAGCTTTTCAAATAGTAGGCAGTTTAGATTTATTGAACGATATTTTAAACAGAATATTTAACGGTATTGACAAACTGGATGCGCATTTTTTTAATAATTTTAACACTTGTTGATAAAGGTTTGACTCATTAAAAGTGAGTTTTGGACAATCTGGATCTGTTCGAACAAGAAAATTTGGTATTTCATTGTTTTTTTGTTGTAAAAATACTTAAGTTGATTATTTAATTGATTAACAATATCGGACCCGTTAGTTTGAAAAACGTAAATGCGTCTGCAACGCTAATGTAGCTTATGACGAATTCTTTAAAACTGTTTATGAAATATACGACGTAAATTTTTCAAAATGTACTGTAATTAAAAAAAATAGAGATTTAATGTCACCGTGGATCACAAAAGATAGAAAATCTTCTAAAATTAAGCAAAAATTATATACTAAATATTTTGAAAGCAAAAAAATTTAAAAAAATTAAAAATTAATGATGAATTTTTGTCCAATCCAACAACGATATGTGATGAATTAAATAAATTTTTTGTCAGTTGGCCCAAATCTTGCAAAAAAAATTCCTTTTGTGATAAACAAAATGGATAACTTCGATTTTCCGATACGGATAATTGGAAATCCGTATTGATTAATATCGGATTTCCGATTCCGATATTAATCAAAACACGCGATACACTATATAACTCGTAGTATTTCTGAATCGTTTGAAAATTCCCAATATACGTCGGGAGTTTTCATAGATTTATCAAAAGCTTTTGATACAATCGATCATCGAATTCTTCTTAAAAAAGTTAAATATTATGGAATTAAAGGAAATGTTTTAAAGTTACTTCAAAGTTACTTAAGTAACCGCAAACAGTTAATTTATAGTAATGAAGTTAACCCGTCTAATTTATTAAACATAACCTGTGGGATTCCGCAGGGCTCGATATTAGGACCCCTTTTCTTTCTTTGATGTCAGTCATGTTTGCCGATGACACTAACCTCTTTTTGTCTGATAATAGCATAACTACATTATTTCGAGATATGAAATGGAATTAACAAAAATATCTGATTGGTTTAAAATAAATAAACTTTCACTAAATGTTGAAAAAACAAAATGGACACTTTTTCATCCAGCGTCTAAAAAAAAACTACCTCCTTGTGAACTACCTTTATTTTTATTGATAAAATCCCTATAAAAAGAATAATTAGTGCTAATTTTTTGGGTATCTATGTTGATGAAAACCTTAGTTGGAAATATCACATTGAATTCTGGTGTAATAAAATTGCTAAAAGTATAGGAATATTGCATAAAGCTAGAGGTGTGTTAAATTAACGTAGTCTAATTCAATTATATTTCTCTTTTATCCATTATCATTTAAACTACGCAAATATTGCTTGGTGCAATGCCAATAAATTTAAACTGAAGCCTCTTTATTGTCAACAGAAGCATGTTGCTCGTCTTATTAATTTTAAAAACAGGTTTACTCATGCCAAGCCTCTTTTATTTGAAATGAAAATTTTTAATATATATAAGCTGAATGTTTTTAACATTCTTTATTTTATGTATAAATGTAAAACTAACTCTTCCCAAGTGTCTTTCCATAATTTATACACGCTGAAATATAAAAATAAATACAATTTAAGAAATGATAATTTAATTCGTCAACCATTTTTTCAGACTAATGTTGGAAAATCTAGTATTTCTTTTTGACGAGCTATTCTTTGGAACAAAATAGTTTAAAATACTTTAATTTTTCTCTGCAATCGAGTTATTTTTAATTCAGAAATAAGCTTAAAGAAATCATTTTGTCTCATGATGATATATTGTCATATTTTTAAACGTTATTAACTTGATGCATTATTTTAGTTTATTCAGTTGAATGTTTATAAGGGCATGCACTTAAATGTGATTAACTATATATGCACTTTACTATATATATTTATATATATATTGAATTTTATGAAGTTTTAATTTAAGAGCGGTTTTTGGTGACAAGACCTAATTGACAAGACCTAAGTCTTCTGCGAGTCTCTGCGTTCTTTTTATATTAACTAAAAAGTCTTAGTTTTATCTTTTATTTCTTTCTTATTGAGTAAGGTTTTTAACAATCTAATTGTAAATTTTTCTTAACGATCTAATTGTAAATTTTTCCTAACAATCTAACTGTAAATTAATTAATTTTTCTTTGAATATATTGTAATAAGAACCAAAGAAAAAAAAAAGTTAAGAATCTAAAATATTCATTCTCCTAATATAATCATGAACTGATTTCTGTTACTTAACGTAAAAAGTAAAAATTTTATAAATCGTTTTTGATAACTTTATTAGTTTTTCAGCTTTTTTTTCAAATAACTTATACTGTTGCATTTATTGTTCCAATTTCCAACCAGAATTTCTGTTAATTCTCCATAAAGTATTTTACCTTTTAATTACTGATTTGACCTCATTAGGTAACTATATATATATATATATATATATATATATATATATATATATATATATATATATATATATATATATATATATATATATATATATATATATATATATATATATATATATATATATAAATCAGCATAAATTGATAACATACCTGTATCAGAGTTGTACGCCCAATCATCAGAGTGCGAACTTACTCCTAAAAATAAGTTTAAATTGATATTTTTTTATACACTTATGCCTAAAATAAAAACCAACCACCCTATATTTATATAAAAAATACTGTTTTTGTACTTAACTAAAAAAAAAAAAAAACGTACATGATCATGAAAGAATAAAAATTTCACAGTATAAACCATGTTTAGTTCTTTGTATGAGTTCCTCAAATTTTTGAAACAACCTTTATTTTTTGTGTCACAAAGGCACCAAAAGACCTTCATTAACGAATTTCTCAGATTGGCTAGTAAAGTTGGGTTTTGCTTAAAAACTTCTTTTAATTTACCGCCCATTTTTCAATGTTGTTTAAATCAGTTAAGATTACTTGTAGCGGAATTAGAGAATTAACTTCATTTTCATAGAGCTATGTTTAAAATATTGTCTTCTGCTAGCAACTTGCCCGTTCATAACAACTTTCGTGCATAAAAATATCGAACTTTCTAATCTGAAACCAATTAAAAACGTTAAACTTTCCAAATAGTTTGTGGGATTGAGAGTATCGACTTGTTGTAAAAGGTGTGAGTAAACACGACTGTTGGTATTGATTGCTAATACCAACAGTTAAATCATAATTGTTGAAACTTTTTTGTTAGAAAGTGCAACGTATCAGGGATTGAAGTAATTTATGAGGCCGACAAACATTGACTATGTGTAATACAAACTGCTTACGCATCGTCTGAGAATATGACACTTTGCCGCATTTTTAAAGTGTATTTAATGTGTTTTACCAGGAGTATGCATTCGAAATGATTGGATTTATAAAAATCAACAATTTATTTTGGGAAGACTATCAGACTCAGATCATTTAAAACACTGTTTATTGGCAGCTACGACTGGAAATAGTCTTTTGAGGATATCCAGTCATTTTAATAATAAAAAAATCATTTTTCAGTTAGGCCATGTGTCATCGACCGGAACAATTAGCAATCTGAAGGGGCAATGTCTGGTGAATACGGGGGGTGGAATAGGAATTCCAATTTGAGGTTCTCAAGGTAGTTTTTTACAACATTTCCAACATGGAATTATGCGTTGTCATGTTGACAAATAACCTTGTAATTTCTTTCGACATTATGCGGTCTTTAATCCTCTTATGTTTGGCTCAGCTTGATCAATTGTCGTCGGTAATGGTCTTGTTAGGTTTAAGGTCATAGTATATTGCTGTGTGCTTTTTCCACCAGATACAGAGCATGAGCTTAGATTATTTGGTTTCGCTGTCAATGTTGATGAATATCCGGGCTTGACCCATGCTTTTCTACGTTTAGGGTTGTTGTAACGTATCCACTCTTCGTCACTAGGTTTTGTAGGTACAAACTTAGTCATTTTTTAAGTTTTGGATAAAAACGTCTTTACATTTCGGCAGTTGAAATTGGACTGATCTTTGTAGTCTAGGTTTTAGCTTTCAATTAAAAGTTGTTTCACCCCAATTGGGTATATACCTGCCAAATTAAGTGTCTCAATACAAAACGTTTACTGTTAATAACGTATAATTACAGTGTTTTTCCACATTTAATGTTTTATTTTCAGTCCTTTCCAGTTTATACCTTTTTTTTCTTTTTAACACGTTTGAAATTCTTCATCGTGATGAATTTTGTTTGAACATTAACGTTTGATGGAGGGGAAGATGGGTTTTATGAGATTTTTTTAGGCCTAACACATGTTTAGAAGAACCATAAGTATCTTTTGCAGGCCAAAACACAGTTATAGATGACTATGTTTTTTGCATTTTATAATTTCTTTGTAGGGTACAACAATTTTAAATAAAAAACCAGCCATGGATTCACTAAAGAGTGTTTCATCAGCAGCAGCATAATTGCTTTAATCAAACGTTGACTTTTTTTAAAATTGTTTGATTAATCTTACATCAAGTGATTAAACTTATTGGTTGCTTTTTTTGATTAAGTATTACCTTTGAATTATTCATCAATTTGCATATTTCATTCTCCTCAAATATAAAGGCAAAATGAAATACTTTTATTTTTCTAATCAAATAAATTTTCTTCGAAAACCATTTTAAAAAACTTGAATTTTGTATATATCTAAGTAAACCTCAAAATTCTCAACAACTCAAAATTCTACACACAAAAAAAAATAAAAATTTTTTCACGTAAAAAAAAAAGAAACTCTTTACTATTTCATTTGACCCGCTTTTACTTTAATATTTTACAATTATCAAAAACAAAAATATAAAGTTATTGTAAATAATAAAATAAATAAAAAATTTAATGAAATTTAGGAAAAAAACACTGATCAAAATCTAGAATATAAGTTTTTTTATAGATAAAATAATTTTGGCCAGGAGGTTTGAGTTAAACTTTCTAATTTTTTTATTAAACTACAAATTTATTCGATATTTAAAGATTTCAAGCAGCCAAAACTTTTTATAATAAATCATAAAAAACGAAACTTTAATGTCAACTTGTAACATTTGCTCCTAATTAATATTTAAGTAGCTCGTTAATTAATATTTAAGTAGCTCGTTAATTAATATTTAAGTAGCTCGTTAATTAATATTTAAGTAGCTCGTTAACTAAAAAACAAACGTAAGCGGTAGACTAATACTTTTGCTACCATTGTGACGACTGCAGCCAATTTGGAGGCAGAAGCAACTGTAAGCGGCCTTCAAATCACTTTGAAGGTCGCCTACAGTACCACACGCCATTTCTGGAAAAAAATTCTTCTTGAAGCGATCATTAATGGGTTCCACCTCCCCATCGACGATGGTCTCGTTGATGGGGAGGCGGAACCCATTGATGACCGCTTCCAGAAATTCTAAAAAAATGTATATTAACCTTTTATACTCCTTGAGTTGCCCATAACCATAATTAAGCTGGAGTACAGCCATGTTTATTCTTGCGCTAAGAGGTTAAGAATTTTTTCGATAACATATCAACTCTTTACATATTCTTTAGCTGCAGTCCGGTTAGGTTAAATATTATTCAAGAATTAACAGGAATTTCTCTTAACAAGTTTTCAGATAAGGTGGTCAGCTCGGATTGCTGCTATTAAACCAATTGCAAAATGACAACACAAAGTTATTGTTGCCCTCAATTGGACTATCTTGACTATCCGCTAACATGATAAATCAAGAAAAGTCATTGGAAAGTTTTTGTTTGAAACTTCTAACCTGTACTTCTAACCTTTTGGTGCAAAACTTTCTAAGTTGTAAACGAAGTAATTCGTTTTCTTCCCTCAAACTAACTGTCATTAATGAACTGAACCTTATTTTAACAACTAATTAGTAATCTTGATTAAATCTTCTCATCAAGGATTGATATTTTGGTTGAAGCAAAAGCTGTTGCAGGTTCTCTTTGCTTTGAAACTGAAATTTTGACATCATAACAAAAATTTTGCGATGAAAAACAATTTTGCGATGAAACTTCAAATACAACGTTCTGCTGTGAGAACCCCAAGCAACAATTTGAGTTTACTATCTTCAACGTTGCCTAAGATCATTTTGCTTTAAAAGTTTAATCAAGATTTAACATTATAAAGACTGTTTTGAGATTCATGATCAAATGGTTGAAAAGTTAGTAACGAGATTCTTTAGAAATAAAATCTCGTGATTCGTTGCAAGTCTACACTGATGATGTCAAAGAAGATGGATTTATGGAAGAAACTAGGCATTTTAATAGCTTGAAAAATTCTTTGCTTTTTACTTCTAGAAAATCCTTGAGGCTTCTCAATTAAATATATTTAAAGGATCTACAGCCTATTTTTCCCATTGTATGCAATCATACTTATGCATGATTGCATATGCTTTTAATTTTAATTATTTTTAAAAATATGTGTAAAGGGGCGCCTACTAGATGCTTTGCCCCGGATGTAATAAATGCTCTCGGTGGTCCTGAAAACCATTTTGGTTTTCAGGACCACCAAGAAAAATTTTGAATATCATGAAATAAGGTTAAATACATTTTTATTACGATATATTATAAAATGAGAAAATTTAAATAAATTTACCTGCAAATGTTGCTGTGAAAAAATGACTTAAAGTTGCCAACAAAAGCAGTCGACGCATGATCACGCAAATGTTACTAAATATAAGACGATATATATACATACATACATACATACATACATACATACATACATACATACATACATACATACATACATACATACATACATACATACATACATACATACATACATACATACATACATACATACATACATACATACATACATAAATACATACATACATACATACATACATACATACATACATACATACATACATACATACATACATACATACATACATACATACATACATACATACATACATACATACATACATACATACATACATACATACATACATACATACATACATACACGTAATAGGACTCAAACTAGGTATATTCCCTAAAAAACACTGACATGCTCAAATTACCCAAAAATGGTATCTTTAAATAATATCAAAAATAAACGCTCCATTGCATTATTTTCCAAACAAAAATGGAAGTGATTTCAAGCTAACAAACTTTTTATTTATAAAAAAGTGAATATCTACATTTAAAATCAAAATTTCGCATACATTTTTTCAACACATTATTATTGTGAATAATTTAGCATGATAAAAAATTGAATAGCGTTTTAACAAGAAAGCTACTTATTACTGCGTATAAATTTACGTTAACTTTACTGATTTCTGTTATCAACACATAAAGTCAATTCAAAAATTAAGAAGCATCTTGAACTTCACTATTCACATCTTAGAAATCTTTTGGTATGGTCATATTACCTAGATGCTCATATTACCCTACCCGAAACTATATATATATATATATATATATATATAATATATATATATATATATATATATATATATATATATATATATATATATATATATATATATATATATATATATATATATATATATATATATATATATATATATATATATATATATATATATATATATATATACATTGAGTTAAATGAATTTTTTTTGTTCATAGGTATATAAACCTGGGTCTCAAAAGAACCAGAACTTTATAGTGATTTCGATATCATAATCTTTTTTACTCGTACTTTAATTAAAAATTCAATCAATATGTCATAAAAAACAACTTTTTCAATTTTTAATTTAAAATTGTTGTTTTTTTTACATTAAGTTTAAACAGTTTATTTTTATTTGAAGCCATTATTATTACTGAAATTTCTTGAAAAAATTCACTGATATACGCGAGAGTCAGTGTGTAATTAAGGGTCATGGTGGGTGACCTTTTTCAATATTAAAATAAAACCAATGGCTTTTCATTTACTTTCAAATCAAAGTTTATCTGTTTTTTATATTGGAAACTGGAGATACAAAAAAGTCAACATCCTAATGTACGTTGGAATATGCCTAAAACAACTGCTCATGTCATTAAATCATGGATGACATCAATCCAGGAAAATCCTTATTAAAACTATTTGCATAATATTTTCACAAATCTAACATGATACGTTAACATAAAAAATACTTAAAAACAAAAGAAGCAAATAATTTAATAATAATTTAAAAACAATGAGCTACACTTTACAGAACAATAGCTTAAAGATTTTATATTTGGATTTAAAGTCTGGATGTTTCTAAATCGATTACGAAAAATATCGTGTTTTATTCAAAATGTCTTGACGATAAAATCTTGATTTTATCGATAACATCTTGATTTTATATTTTTGATAAGCTTGTGTCTGAGACAATGCGTAAAATGCAAAAAGATTGTATTAGAAATTATTATCAATACAATGTTTTGGGCGTGATCAAACAATAGGAAATTTTGCGTTTTTATACAGTTCAAAAATATTTTTATTAATGGGTATTATTTAAAGAGTTAGAATTCGAAAGTTGCACAAAGATATTTTTAGTTATTAGTAAGACATTTTTAAATGCATTTTCCCAGTGGCCCTAATATTCACCGGTCAATATTTGGTTTTTTCAATAAATCTAGAACACAACATTTAAAAATAATTTAAAATTTTAATAATCAACAATATATTTACATTTAAAATTAGAAATTTTAAAACTCAGAGGAGTCAAACCATTAGTTTTCTTGTAGAGTTAAAACCCAAATCACCATGATAACTGAAAATATAACAAACTCTATTTTAAACTCAAAATTCTATTAATCTCGAGAACCTTTTGAAACTTTAACAAAACATTTAAAATACGCAAGGTGTGATGTAATGCTTATAAAGTTGTAAACTGATTTTGCATATGAGTTTTTAAAGTAACACAATAAAAAGTTAGCTGTCAGAACGTGCCAAAATATTAAGCTTTTGAGAGCTGGAGTAACGCTTGAAACATACAATGCTTTGACAAACTGTCAAAAGATTGTATATTACGACAAACCAACCTGACTAAAGACCATGAAAAATATAAAATTATAACAAAGAGAGGAATAAAAATCCAGAATGAATACTAAATTTGTCGAAGGTGTCCATATCTATCATGTTTTCAGCAGCTGCAGATGACTCCATATTACCACCTTGTGTGGTGTGTTATTAAAGGTGAAGAAAAGGAAGATCTTTAATTATGGGTAAATCATTAACTTAGAAAAAAACAATTTTGGATCCTCAAATGTCAGATGTATCATTTTGTCATTTGTCAAGTTTTTCTTTTTTAATTATAGTTTTCTTAATTATAGTGTGAGTTTGAGGTACTTTGTCAGTATCGCATGCATTGTTGGGCCAGCGAGTCCTTTAGAACTTGTATTAATATTCGAAAAAATTAAAATTATTATTTTCAAAACGGCACAAAAATATTCAATGAGTATGATAAAAATATTAGTTGCACCAGCACAAAAATAAATTAATATGTTAAAGTCCCTAGGTTGAGTTGAAGTAAAATATATAGGTTACGTAACTTGAAGAAAATTTTAATCGTTTTTGCAAATAAACTCAAAGTGTATTCACATCAACAAACAGTGTTATCACATTAATGTAAAACAAAAACCAAAAGTGTGATCAAAAGAACAAAACACAAAGTGTCATAAAGAAACACAATGTGTCATAAAGTGAGCAATATATATATATATATATATATATATATATATATATATATATATATATATATATATATATATATATATATATATATATATATTCATTAAACTGATTTTAATATATGTGCGCATTAAATGAACACAAATGATATAATTATTTATGGGATTTATTAAAAGTAATCCTTGGCGCTAGAACTGTTAAATAAAGATCTGTCTTTTGCGTATCGAATGCTTTCGTACCTACTGTTTCGAAGATTTAGTAGTAATTAAAAATGGTGCGAGCAAACCATTCGAAAAAAGTAAGTGTATATGGGAAAAATTTTTTATTTTATTTATCTACACACACATCATTTCTTAAACAAGTTTTTTGTTTAACAAAACCAGAGTTCTCACTAAGCTGTATTTTTATTGCTTAATTATGTTCATAATTAATTAAGTTTTAACAAATTCGTTTTCAGTTAAAGTTAGATTAAGCTTGTAAATTGCCGTAATTAAGTAAACAAAATTGAAAACACAAACGCTAGAAAACATAAGGTTACATGTTTTGTAACCAAGTAGCTTTTATTTTAGCAATTTCGCATCCTGTCGAGCCCATTTTTTATTAGGATATGTAAATATTGTCTCCTAATGAGCTTTGAAAATTTTTTTATAATGCTTTGTTTTATAACTTTTTTTTTAAAGCAAATTTTGATACATTTGTTTATAATTAAGTGGTAATGGCATTTAGACCACTCTATCTGAGCGAGTTATCTAGAGGTTCTTGTCCATATTAATACCACGTACAACGACACTCAATAAATATATATGACTGTATATTTTGGAAAAAAAAAAGAATTATTATTAGCTGCTACCCGGACTAAATAACTAGTTGTTATTTTTTTCTATGGCTTTTTTCTGGGGTACAGTGACCTTAAGCTTGATAAAACACGATAAGCTTGACAAATAGTTTGACGCTATTACCAATAAGCTATATATATCACCCGGGGCCTCGACATCATTAATGACTTTTTTATTTAAGCCAGTTAGTAACATTTCACCAAAGTTTAAATAAAAAGTTTATTTGTTTTTGTACGAATTGGTTTTGTAAACACCTTTTTTTAAAGATGCTTAAATTATTTAATTAATCATAAAAATTATTGATTTTTCAAAATTTCGCATTATAAATAGTAAGGAGTATAGTTTGAGTAACAGAAGTTTGTTTTTTGCAATTAAATTTTAAGAAGCTTTTACATTATTATATAAAATGTATACATCATAGATTCTGATACATAGAGGATCAATAAAAACGCTATGAAAAAATTTTGAAACGTATTAAACAAGATTCGGTCTCGAAGTTTTGATAATAAAAAACGTTGCGGGGTTAAGCATAAATGGCGATGACAATTATCGAGCGGGATAAATTGGTTATTAGAGATAATCCTCTTCGAAGCACTTGTAAAAATATACGCAACTCAAAGACGAATTTTTCTTAATTAACTACAACACAAATTATGTTTATAAATTAGCACTAATTTTTGTTTTTTTATCTTTCCTAAGCCTCATATTATTGTGTTCATGCTTTTTATTTTGAAGTCAATACTTTATTTTTTTAAAATTTTTTGGTGATATATTTGTTGTATATCTTTGTTCATTTTATGTGTTTATTATTATAAGTTTATTATTATAAGTTTCAATTATTAATATTATTTGGGTGCACTGTCTTTTTTTTATCTTAGTATTAATATAATTTTTAATAATCTTAAATTAATCTTTTTTTTGACTTAACTGTCTAAATATGTTTCGTTCTAAGTATAGCTTTTCTTTTTCCCTAAGGCATTCACTGCTCGTGTGTTATCGTTCGGCAAGTTTATATGGCATAGTTATAATACTTTGAGTAACAAACAGCTGCGTCGCTAGGAGGGAGGGTACGGCCCGCACCGGGTGACACCATCAGAGGGGTGACACCAAAATAAATAAAAAGCAAATATGCAACTTTTTTTTTTTATTCTTTTTGAAAATTCCTAGATATAAAGGGTTTTTTTTAGTTTTTTAGTCTA